GGGAATTTCGCAGAGTAGTGCTTCGTGCACACGAACTGGCATGGTTTAGCGGCGAGTTTAGGGTTGAGGCTGTAGGGTTGGGAGAGACGGCTCTTAATATGGCATATATGTACATCTAAACTCTCTCTTTCTCTCTCTCTTTCTATATATATATATATATTATAAATCTTTTATCATATTCAAAGAATGATCTATATAAATATATTTCTCATTCTATATGCTCATATAAATATTTATTAGATATTCCAGACAAATATCACAATATAAAGATAATATCAAATTCAAATTGAATAGAGAAAGATTTTTCATATCATTCTATATATATATATGATTAATCCTCTAGACAAAAAATATTTTGTATATATTTAAAAAAAATCCTTTTATGAATGATATGATTTTCATATATATATGTATATTTGAATTTATCCTCCGACTCTTCGGATACGACATCTAACAAATTTGAGGAATCAAATCTTTTCCATATCTTGAATTTCCGCCTAGGCCCCATAATATCAATCGATCCGACTCCCGCTTTGATCATTATATATTTCAATTTTCGTGAAATTAACGAATAATTTTCTATTATAAATCTAATCCCTTCACGCCCCGGCTCGATTTCCTAAAATGAATGAATATTTTCTAGACCACAAATTGATATGAAAAAAAATATAAAATAATTCTAAAGCAAAGAAATACCCAATCCCTCCTAATTTATAGCTTTCTTTCGATCCAACCCAATTCTTTATAATTCTAGCCCAAAATATCATAGAATCTTCCGGGCCGGCTGCCTATTTTCCCTTTATTAGATTACGAATATAAATAAAATATTTTCTTTCGGTTATTCCACCGGTCTAATTCCTAAATCCTCTGTATAAAATAGAAAAATAATATGAATTCTAACCCTTCTCTTCCAAGAACCAACCAAATTTTTATCTATTTCAATCTATGAGAAATCCCTTTATAATTTCATTTTTCAAAATCGAGAAAGGTCCAATAATTCTTGCCCTTCCAACAGCCTCCCAAATATCTACCTGCCCGATTTTTGAATTCTCTATCAAGAAATCATCCCAAAACCTAAACAAAATTTGCAGCTAATCCATAACGGAACGCGTAGATTTCAGGGTTCTATCTCGGGTTGTTTGGTGACATCAAGAAGATATAATAATATTTCGATATTTTCTCCTCCCAAATATCTTTCGAATCGGATCAACGACTCATTAGAATCGGGCAAATCGTTTTCAATCTCTAAAAATAGCTCAAGAAAAAGCAATTTATTAATTCGAATCATATATCTAACCTATCTTATCTCATATATTTTTTCAAATTTCAATAGATTTAATAATTATCGTATTTTCTATTAAATATATCAAAATATATAACAAGCTCAATAATTTTGTAATTCAATTTCTACCAAAAATCATATCTTCTTCCAACCTAAGAATTTTCCAGACTCCCAATATATTACTGTAAGGATTTTTTATTTCAACCAAGCTTCATTAAGCCAGACCCAATTCCCTAAAATATATAAATTCCTTTATACGAAAAAAAGAGTAAAAGAATTATATATATCAATATGCCTTCATAATTACATATAAATAAAAATACGAGAGACCATTGAAGCACAATCTATAATGATGTATATATATATATATAAATATAAATATATATATATAGATTTTATTCATTTATTTATATATTCAAAGCCTGCCCGTGAGGTTTGGTTTGGTTCTGTTTAAAGCCGCGGTGTCCGGTCGTATTTAAATCCGAAAAAACCGAATTGAATCGCTGCAACCCTGATTGCTGAAGTGGTCTGGACTTGTGGGTTTGCAATTTCCTGGCGTGTTCGTGCCTGGACATTATGCGAAACCGTGTCTGATGCTGCAAGATGAAGCTGCACATCCATTTTGTCGCAGCCTAACCCATTACATTGTGATAGCAGCTCTTTCAATTTTAAATCAAATCTCCCGGCCACGCGTCGCTTGCATCATGGGCCTTTGCGAGACCTGTGCGAACAGAGTCTCGAAAGATGTGGCTCTGGGAAGCTCCCCAACCTTGAGAGACGCCCAGTCGCCTCTTCCAGCCGAGGTTTCCCACCTGGGCCATTTCAGCGAAGAGGCCGAAAAGATCCGGAGAGAGAGACTTTGCCCGACGAGCTGCCACAACCGCTTCGCCAGCTCTGGCAAGCCAGTAGCGGAATCCCGTCCTGATAGTAGACAACTGTAGACAATGCAATTGCCAGACAAACGGTCAGAGACACTGAGTCACTCATGCGCCCATTCACTCACTCTTTGACTAAGAGCAAACCCGGAACTGGCAGGCCTGGCTGCCGACGCCGGAGCACAATGATGCTTGCATCCAGAAAGCCAAGTTTCAGCCTTTCAGGGCTGCATATGCTCAGGCCCGGCCTTCTTTGCGGCAAGGTCTAGCGCTGTCACATGTTGCATAAGCCGCAGGCTCTCGTCGCGCATAGCAGAGCCAGGGGGCCTTTGCCGAGCCCAAACGTTGTACGAGCTTCATGTAGGAGGATTTTCTTTCATTCTAAACGATGCCCCTAACTTGTGGAGGAGGGACTGGGACGAAAGGTAAGCTATAGCTTAGCCCTATAGGGCAGAGCAGCAGTGGAGAAGCCGAGGCAGCCAAGCGGACTTTTTTTTGCCGCTCACGCCAGCGTGGCGCGTAGCAGGCGCAGCTGCCGCCAGGTGGCTCCTCGAGGCGGGAGCAGGACGCAAAGCTTGCAGGCGAGTTGCGACAGGAGAAAGGTTTGGAGGAGCAAGATTTCGGAGCTGAGGTTCTGTTGCTCCCGTTGTTGGGGAACAGACGCGCCTGAACATGCTAAACGAGGCTGCCAGTAGCTGAACGAACACGGGCACGCCCATTTGTGTGGCTTGCCATCTCTTTGGAAACAGCACAGCAAAGGCCGACCAAGGACTGAAACCACATGCGCGTGCACTTGACCTTCATCTTTCGCACGCGCCGCACCTCAGCCTTGCCGAACCGCTCCGTCAAGAGATCGGCAGGGTGCTCGACACGGCCCAGCACACGTGTCACCGCAGCCCGGACATCCAGGACGGTGTGCTACTTCACTTCCCGGTGCCCACTTCCTCTGTCAACATCTCGGCAAACCGTCTCGATGAAAGCCGTCCCAAAAACAAGCAGGCTTCCCGGCGCTGTCCTTCGCGGGAAGGCACGACGGCTATGAGGGCATCGTGAAGCAGAGTCGTCCGATCTCCGGCTTCAATGTTGATGTCCCCACGCAAGATCTCGCCCAAAAATTTCTGCACTGGTGACGATAGCGTGCACTGTTGGGGCGGTTGACCTCGCGGCATGTGACCGTGCACTGCCGTGTCAAGATCTCTTGGGCGCTGAAGCTAGAGAGCATATCTTGGTAGCTGTATTTGCGCGAGTCCCTCTGCCAGTGCTGAGGCGATGTTGTGACTTCCGATAGTACTTGTCACACAGCCCGCGCAAAAGCAGGGCTCGGCATGCGAGCTCCGGAATCCCCTCGAAGACCAGGCGACGCTTCAAGGGAACCTGCCGATGCAAGCGCCGTGTGGACGGTTGTTTTATTCCTACTGGGGCAGCGTGGATGGAGTGCGCTAATCAGTGCGCGGCAGTTCTTGCGGTTGACTGACATGCACAACATCTCTCAGGCTAGGCAGAAATGTTGCATACCCTAACGGAAAATTAGGAGGACTCCACGGTTTGAGGCTTGCATTCGAGCGGCACATGTGTCCAACACGGAAGCACAAAGACACCGCACGAAGGACTTCGGAGCCTCGCAGAGATCATGTCGAAGCCGATGATGGAGCGGCCATCCTCGGCAGAGAAGCGGGGTTAAATTCTTGCAGCCGTGCTGTAGTAATTCTTGCAGCCGTGCTGTAGTAGGCTTGGAAGCACTGCCGGCAGAGTCCTGAGCGCATGATCGGACAGAACTAGGCTACTGGTACTTCAGGAGGCTCGACATCGGGTGTCACATGGAATGGCCTCGAAGGGAGATGCTGAACCTCTGCGTTTTCTACGAATTTCGACGATTCAGCCGCGAGTCTTCTGGCCGAGACTCGGACGCGACGTCTGCATCCGGCACAGAGCATGGCTCAAGGATTATATTTAAAGAAAGACATGCTGCCGGCCGGAGTTTTCTTGCTCATCTTGGTTGGCTGGGCGGAAGAACAGGAGCGTAGGAGCCAAAGAAGGCACCGAAAGACAATCATGCTTGTCTCAATGCAGGAGATTGGAACAGTCACAACACCGAACATCATACGAGCCAAGCAAGCCACTCAAAAAAAAGCTTGCGCAACATTGATGCCCGGCGCGGCGAGCATCATGAGCATCATCCGTGCCCGGCGGGAGGCCAGCATCATGAGCATCATTGGCGGCTCGGTTCTCCGTTCCAGGGCAAGCCGAAACACTCCCTTTTCATGCCAGAAAAGGAGGGGGGTCCGGTCAGTCGGGAAAATGCAGCTCCAGGTGCAGTCTAGCTCGGGAAACCGGCACCGTTTGACAGAATTCTTGGGGCCCTTTCCCCACACCCCTGTTGCAACCTTCGGTTGATAAGAAACTCCGCTAGCCCCGGAGGCTAGCTTTCGTGACCAGCGCTGCAACAACCTGAATGCCTTGGACCAGCACATGACTTGCGGACGAATCCGTCGTTGGGCATCTGGCTTGGGCGGAATGCAGATTTGCAGCTTCCAGGACCCAAGGCTCCTGGAGTCACTAAGCAGCTGCACCATCTGCTGCACACGAGCAACGCAAAGAAGCTACGGATGAGCCTGCTCAAGAGAAGAAATCAGAATCAAACGACCGTCAGCATCCGATCGCACGACCTGCAGTCTGCAGTACACGAAATCAAATCAGAACCACCAGATCAAGGCTGAATTGCCCGTGCGACTGTGTTGTGCGGTGCTTGCGTTGATTCATACAGTACGGCGGGCAAGCTAAGCAACGGAGTGTTAGCTGGGCGGAGTCCTACCGTCCCAACACCTGAATCCACGGGAAGATCCCAGTTCCGATATCAAGCAACAAACAAGTGCTAGAGTCAGCTGCGTGCCCCTCGTGCTTCATCAAGACCAGAACAGCATCATTCAGCGAAGCGTGATTGAACTCCTTCTGACAAGAAAGCAGGGGAAGGCACTGTCCTCGACCCTCGGGATGAACATCCCGAAGGAAATCAAGCCACCAACACGACATATCTGTACGGTGTAACTATAGGTTGAACATGTGAAAAGGGTTGTTGCAAAACAAGACAGCACAAATTGACAATACCAGATCAGTCACATCGCACTTCTTCTGTAAGATCCCCACGCGGTCGAACTCCTTAAGCACAGCCTCCGAATGTCGGAGGTAAGGCGCCGTCAAGCAGGGGTAGGGCTTATAGGGTTTAGGGAATGTCAGAGAAATCCGCCTTGTATAAACTGTCTCTGCAGCCTTCGATTGTGCCATACTGGCGTCCAAACGGAATGTCGCATATCACCACGTCAACCTCGGTCAACAGGGGTTCGGTAATGCACCGTAGAGGTTGAAACGTGGAAGATCCAAGGCCACAGATGCCCAGCAGATCCCGGTGTGTTTCATCGTAACTCTTTATGCATTGCGTCACCGCGGCTTGCGTCAAATCTTCTCGCGGCATCAACGCATCAGCGAAAGTTGCATTTCTCTAAAGCTGCACAATTTCGCCGGAAGCGCTACGAAATCGCAGCATTCAGGGGGAGATTGGGCAGACTGCGCAGCACTTCACTTGTTCCATTGCTGTGGGAGGCGGATGCCGATTCATGCCACCAATTTCCACGCAGCCACTCGAATAATCGCAGCTCCAATGCTGGTGACAACTATCCATCGAGCATAGCAGCAGACCACAGCAGAGAAGCCTGAGCCCCAACACTCAACGTCTCCTGGAAGTGGCCTGCCCTACAAACTTGGGCGATGGCCGAGCGATCTGGTAATGGCAACCTCTGGGCATCACCCATGAGGAGGTCCTGACTTACGGGTATTTGCAATCATATGCAAGAATCATGCAAGAATCTGCATCACAGAAAGCCGGAGTGGGTGATGGTTTATGCTTTGAGAGTAGATACCACTTGCCAGGCTTCCACTTTAGTAACGTACCGAGCATCCAGTTCTTTCGTAAGGAGCAGACCAATCGGGCACCAGTCGCCTGTGCCAGCTGAGCCTGCGGAGGGAATTTGAAAGGCCAATGCCATCTGCATTGGGGGGAACATTTTGGCACAGGCGGGGATTCCATTGAGTTTATGACGAGATTAAGGACTTGGGATCTGAGAACCACAACGTGAGACAAGCCAAGTCTCACACGTTGCTGCGCGCACCGGACAGCTGACTCGCATCGAGGTCCACGCCTTCGGCACACTCGACAGACAAGCTTTGAAAAGAACTCATCTGAACTCATAAAACCTAGGCCTATGTAGTGGCAGTTGGGCCAGCTGAGGGCAGCCTCGAAGCAAGGGCACTCTAGTACAAATGGGTCCACAGCACCGTCGAGCCAGGCAATGCGCTGTGCCTCCACCAGGATAACCGCCTGGCTTACACTCCGTACGGAACTGCATGGATCTGCAGCTTTGCTCGGAGTGACTGTCAATGCATGCAGATGTGCAGCTATCGTTCTGAGCTCGTAGATCATACAGTACAGGAAGCAACAGTGTTTTGTTCGAGGCACACTGCCTGCCCGGGTTCCAGTGGCCTTGCCGCACATCGGGTCCAGCACACGGTCGCCTTGCTTGAGCTCGGCTGACCGAGCCAATGCCCAGGCCTCAAGGATTTGCAATCGGATTCCACTGGAATTTTTTGAATTTCTAAACCGGACGGTCAAGACCCAAGACCCCAGCCACAGGTGCGGCCATGCCCGCACTACAAAGCTCTCCGCCGCCGCTCGGGATGCTTTGAACCTCAGAGCCAGCGCAGGTTTCGCAGACCCAACTCACGTAGTGAAAGCCAGCCCCTGGTCACGGAAACCTCCGAAACAAATGGAACGGCATGAATGTGCTGTTCCAAACCGGCACTTCTGAGCATCCGTCAAGAAGCGGAAGGTCGACCAGGATATCGCTGTCGCTAACCTGCTTTGAGAGATTTCCGAGATGAGCTCTTGGGATCTGGGATTTGTCACCGTTCTACAGTCCGAGCAGCCGGCCAAGATCCTCACTTCAAGATCGGGGCGTCTCACCTGCAAAGCTGGTGAGAGAACCTCCCTCCAATGCACGATGCTCTGGACGCTCTGCTCTGGCCTGGGCCCGCCAGCCTGCCAGGATCTGACATTTCACTCTGACACCATCACTCTCGGCTACGCCAGACAGTGGGGGCTTCTGTTTTTGGTGCACTTGCCACCTGCCTTGCTTGGAGGCAATGGCCGTTGCTGCGGCAACTGCAACCCCTGCCAAGCTTCTGACACGCTCTCACCCGGTCTAACCGGTGCAGTCTCATGGGCCCGATTGTATGGCGCCTCTTATGGACAAGGTGCTGCAAAACATGGTCTGCTCATGGCGGCTGACCCTCCGACCTTGGGATGACAGCTGAGCAAATCGTTTGCCCGATCGCCGGCAGGTGATTTTGAACCTGGCCAATGTCTTAGCGAGGCCGCCCCCCAACAAGCATGTCACCAGCGCACGCGTGAGTCTCTTGCCCATTTGTAGTCTTAAGGCTCAGAGTCCTTGATGAGACAGGAGTTCCTGAGAATGGCACGAAATTGCGAATGCTAACAAACATTCTGCCGTAAGGACAGAAGTCAACAGGTGCGTGCAAGCAGTATGGGCAAAATCGAAGCTGCAGCAGCTCAATTGGACTAGTCAACCATGTTCCCTCAATATCAACTGGTTTCTGACGGTTACAGACTTTACAGGACCGGTCCTGGCTTACCAAGGAGGCAAATCTTCAATAAACCTGCGTTGCGCAGAAAAAGAGGTCTCGGCCCTCAGCCATAAAGTGGCCGCGGACACTTGGCCCCCACACTTTACATGCCTAAGCTGTCTCTGAAGACACTGAATGAGCTACTGTACAAGACTCTGAGCTTCCTCAGGCAGCTTTAGGATTCTCTCCAGTTGCTGCTTCAGCGCGGGAAGAAGCCTTGGTCCATGCAACCACGAGAATGCGATTCAATGCGGTGTAAGCGCAAGTGGCGTGCGGGCAGGACTCGTGCTCTGCCAATCCTCGTCGGACAGGAAATGGCCCTGGCCCTCCAGCGAGACGATGTCGGTGGACCACGCAGCAGCCGTGCCTCGCATTCATGCAGCTGACACCAGCAAACAAGGAAAATGCCAAAAGATTGCACATCCCGTCAGCAAGAGCAAGGTGCTCTCATGACACCAGAGGGGAGTCAGGACGTCCCCAGATCCGGCGATGAGAGAAACGGGCTTGTTCCCATCCTCCAGGGCGAAGGCAATAGAACCCAATGACTTTACAGCTTTCTCGAACCAAGCCTGCATGAAAGAAGCCTTTACCCTGTTCCGGCACCTCCGATTTTCCACGGCAAAGACTGAAACCGAGTAGCCCGAGAAGCAGATTTATAGACTCGACCTTTGCGATGCCTCGCAGCTGCATTGATCGGCAGTCTGCGCACTCATGTCACAGAAAGGAACGGCCTTCATGGTACTGCTGAAACGTCTGCGGACTCCCAGTTATTGTCACAATACTCGGATTTCCAGCGAAACCTCAACTTTGAGGGCAGGCGGCGCTACTGGGCTTTCGCAACCGACATGCGCTGCCTGACGCAGTGTGCAGTTTCATCCCTCCAGGCAAGCCGACTGTCACCTTGATGCCTTCTGAGACACCGATTGATTGGCACCGGTGTGCACTCCGGCAGAAGTACCCACCGCCCACCAGCTGCGCTACATTCATTGACACGAGAACCTTAGGCGCTTAGCATTGCTCAGTGCACACGTGCATGTAAATGGCACGATTGGATTGGAATTCAAGGCAAACAGTCGTCAACGTTATTGAATCGAAGGACCATGAAGACACCAGCACAGAACGTCGCCAGGAGATGAAGAAAAAAGCAAATGTATGTACCTCGGAAGCATGGAAAGCATGCTGAACAGTCCTGAACAAGTGAGCATTGCGATTGCACTTTTGCACCTGGCAGTCACGAGGTATCTTGGAAACTTGGGTGCGGGTGGTTTTCACTCAGTTTGTCGAGTCTGTTCTGCAGCAGGAACACAAAAGCTCATCACTGGCACCGGACACAGCAGGATTGCTCCCTGCACTTTGGCGGCCGTATCCTTCTTTTTCGCGAGCAGAACCTGGACGTCGGTGCCAACAACCCCTCGTGGAGATCTTGGCGATGCACCCCGTGAGCCTCCACGATGGAGCCCCCCAGAGAGTGGCCAAGCAGAACGACAGGTTCCTGGCTACAAAGCTCGGATTCGAAGATCTTCTCATCCCCAACCCGGCCTTGAGGTTTAGCAAAGCATCCTCTACCTGAGCAACATAGTTGCTCAGGGAAGTACAGCGCGACTTCTCCTTTCGCAAGCGGCTTGTTGATGTGCATTCCAAGCCCAGGGCTAGATTAGAAGCAAAGCAGCGTGATTGCCGCTCAAATTCGCAAAGCATTGGTTTAAGGCTTCTAGGGGGTAGGGGGTGTTACCCTCATAGCTGTAAGCAGCTCTCCAGGAAGAGCGCCACAGAGGTGTAGCCACTCTCTGCAAGTGCTGTCATGGGACCTTCGGCTGGTTCACAGTCCGGTGCGGCTCTTGGGACTCGTGTGTCGTGTGTACAGGCACAGACTCAGACAAAATGCAAGGCAGGCTTGTCGGAACACCGCGATGAAACATGCTTGAGAAAAAACACCAAACTAAGTCGTGACGGTGCGCCCTGGAACACTGCAGCAGAGTCGTGTGTCGCACCCGGCACCCAGAGCAGTGTCGCCCGTCGTGGTACCTGACTAAGCGCAAGGCAGCTTTCAAAAACGTACTCGCATGCTCCAGGCGACAGAAAGGGACAGACCAAAATCAGCACAGGCATGCCAATTGCCAGCTCAGCAGCATGACTAGCGGCATGAACCACGAAGCTTGACGAAGTGGACTGAACATATCCACTGTCTGCCATCGCAAGTCGGCTGGAGTCACGGCCCCCAGTGTGACCGAGTCCGGGTGAGCTAAGAGCAGCCTAAACGCAGAAAAGATCTACCACACTGTACTCATATGATAAACTGTCATGAAAAATATAATATCATAGGCATCTCAACCTTCCAGCCCACGCTGGTAGATTCGACGGCGGCTCGAGCCATGCGGCTGTGGAGAGGTGAGTTAGCCAGGGAGCAATGAGTACACACCGGTGAGAGCACTGATCATGCTGTAGACCACGAATGCACGCCTGATTCAGAACATTGAGGTGTTGTCAGCCCCTTAAAGCTGCAATAGTACTCGGCCCATACACAGAACATGTTCATTCTCTCACTAACGTTGGCAATATGGACCGAGAAACAAACGTATTTACCTCCCTCCATCCAGAGGACAAGCTGATATTATGTGTCGTGCTGGTGTGACGAAGCTCAATTCATGCTCATGTGACTGAGTAAGCATGTTTGAGCCAATTCAAAAATCCTAACCTGGGCAAAGCACCCCAAAACCTGAAATCTTCTGCTGCATGTTAGTGACTCATGAATGTCTTCAACAAGCATGCCACCACAACCATTCCATAACATTACTATCAGATGCTATCTACAGCAGCAGTAGCACAACTGCCCAGATGACCCGGAGCTTCAAGTCGATCCGTGTTGCCAGGGGCACGTGAGGGGCTCGACGCCATCCTCGTCTCCTGCGGGGGATGTGACTGCGGGAACTCTGCGCTAATCTTCCTAACATTCCAGCTCTTGTCTTGGGTGGCTCACTTCTGGGGCTTACGCCATAGATTTTGACGCTCTGATGGCCTCTGCAGCTCCCCTTTTTGCTGCGCGGGGTGAAACAACGAAACAGGAAAAAGGCAAAGCCGGTGCCAAAAGCCTGGCCCGCAACACCTCACAGAGCTCCTGAGGGTGACATCTACGACTCTGGAGTAGAAGCTTCAGTTTTGACCTCTGGCACCTGGGGTCCTGTGAGCCAGGCTGGGAAGACACACCGCATTTTTACAGCCATGGCTTTGTATCGCCAGTCTGATCAACAATCAAGACAAGGACACGCTGCTTTAAAGGTTCGAGAGCTTTCATCCAGACCTTCCGCACGGAGTCCATTTCGGATGGATTGCAGTTCCGCAGAGGGTCAATAATCAAAAGAACTCTCACAGCCCCAAGCGAGATTCGGAAGATTGCTTGGGCTAGCTGGATCCGGAGAGCCTCCGGTTTCGACATATTGGACGCCCAATCTGTGCTCTCAACACCGTTGGGGAGGTTGACCACTTTGCTCCACATGCCGGCTTGTTCTAGACACGGCTGCAAAGGCATGCCCATGTCTTCCAAGCCCATCTGCACATACTCGGCCAAGGAGCTCCCCTGGCCCGGCGTCCTGGCAACGCTGCAGGGCAGAGGCGCATGGTCGATGATGTGTATGGAGAAGTTAATCGTCTCGAGCTCGTAGTGCTCGACAAACTCTCCATTTAGCTTGATCTTCGCTGGAGCATCCAACATCCGCAAGAGGAGCTTGGCAAAGGTTGTTGCCCCCGAGCTGCGGGGCATGCTCATGACGTTCAGCTTCCCGGTCATTGCTGAAGTGAGGGCAGGAATCTTCGCAAAAGGTCCAAACTGTGCTGAGCCGAGACAGTAAGTGAAACCCTGTGGGATCTCCAAGCAGATTTCGGCGGACAACTTGTTGATTCCGTCCTGTGTCAAACAAGTAAGAAACGAAGTTGGCCAAGGGCATGTTGGCTCGAAAGTACTCTCATGCAGCACTCTGGGAATGCCACTGCAGCTCAGGGTCAAAGCGAGGTGCCGCCATGCGCAGCAGGGCTCGTGACAGCAAAAACAAACGCTCCAAAGAACCTATGGAGGAGGACAGCTGCAGCAGCGCCTCACCTGCACACTGAAGTCTGAACTTCTTGGCTCCATCTACCCCAGTTAGCATGCAGGCGGCGCGGTTTCTTACGTTCTTCACTTCCTTGAAAGAGGTCATGCGATGCATCATCCCACAGCTACATTGTCTGGAAAATCATGCTGTAGTCGGTCCGAGTCACAGGATCGCCGCACTGCACTCAGGAGAATCGGAACAGACACAGCATAGACGGAGTAGCTGTGAAGACACTCCGCAGTTGTTCCGGCTGCGCTCGAGTGGAAGAGCTTGAAGAGGGCCAAGGTGATGCAGGCCAGCTCCGTGTAGCGGAGGAAGATCTGCACACCGATACTTATCCGTGCCAACATACGGACAAACAGGAGACGGGCGAACAGCAGCTGTGAAGCTAAGCTAGCCCGGAGCTAGGGGAAAAGAGAGACATGCTCAGCGAAGTCGGCCCATTTCTTCCAATGCCATCTGCATCGTGAAAGGTTACGTGCTTGATCCTACGACCCCACACAAGTAGCAAATGTGGTTCACTGGCAACTTCCATTTTGGGGCTGATTCGGGCCTCGGTCGGTACTGAAGATAGGGCCTGTACTGTTGAGTCACATTGAGTTTTGGGCTGAGCAGCCTTTCCATTGAAGGACCTGGCTTTGGCTGCCTAGGGAAATCTGCAAATCTTGCAAAACGAATCGGGATGCCGGTCAAGGTCCTGAGATAGCGGAACATTTAAGCCGGGTAAGCACAGCTGGGTGTCGGCTGGTACGGTTCGTCCATGGTCACGGCATGTGCGCCCAAGTGATCTACGTCCTACGACACCGTACGACACGGGTCCGCCGCAAAAAAGGCAAGAGCCTGCATCACCTGGTGGATCAAGGTGAGCTTCTTGCGCTGCTCCAAATTGGCATCTTGAATCTCTTCGTACGTAGCCTTTACTGCAGAAGTCTTCTCGGCCATGGACTTGACTTCGAAGAAGTTGCTAAGCGTACTGAACATGTCGGAGTACATGTACCCGATCATGCTGCGTGTTTGTCTGGAACAAGTTCGGAGGCTGAAGCACGCCAGGAGCGACATGGCCACCATGAGCGCACCAGCCGAGAATGCAACGAAGACTGCATTCCAGACGGGCTTGCTGTCACAAGTCGGTTGTGTGGCAGCAAGCCCAAGGATCGCCAGCAAGGCACCAATGACGGTGAGGGACTCGATCGAGAAGTCGTTACAAGACTCCAGGACGCCCTGAAGGGCACGCGTATCTCCAACAAGTCGGCTCCAAACTTCCGAGAACATCCTCGTGGTGAAGGCCTCAGTCTTGATGTTTAGAAGAGCCAGGTACATGGAGGTCAGGACATTCAGCATGGCATAGTTAGCAGATCGGATGAAGAGCCAGGCGCCAAGAAGGCTAGTAGCCGCAGCTGCAAGGAGCCAGAAAGTGCCCAACAAGTGATTAATCACCAGAATGTACAGGACCGCGGCCACACAGTTTACAAGGAAGGCTCCCAGAAAACCCGGCCATGCCAACTTGCCGATCCGCACAAGCTGAAGAAACGCCTCCGTAATGGTGAGCTTGCCGAAGAGATTCTGCGCCAACAGTGGATCGGCATTATCCGGGAGAGTCTCGTCCTGCCCCCAGAAACACAATCATTCAAGTCGTGCGTGAACAAACCCGTCATGCGACGAGTCCTGGGTTCAGACCTGCGGCAAAAATCCTGGTTCAGCCGAGTCCTGCTCCATGAAGGCGCCACCACTTGTCAAAATGCCTGGCCGCTAGAACACTGGACTAATTACATGTCCTGCGTGTGAGGTGGCAGAATGCCACCACCAAAAGAAGCAACACCGTAGACCCAAAACCAGAAGGAATCCAAGGCGAGCGGCGGTTGACCACGTTCCGAGCACGCGCCTTGGAGCTCTCGAAGGCGGCGCGCCGCAGGGTCCGCGTCCGGCTGCCGGGTGCTTCGCTGCCGCCCATCTCGAAGGTGTAGCCCACCTGCGTCTGCTCGAAACCTGTCTGACCGATGATGGAGCCATCCTCCACGTGCATCGCTGCAGCACTTCGTTGCTGGCGCAAGTATGCCAAATGTGCATGTGAAGGATGCTCGGAACTGTCGGAGCCTGCAAGGTGTGTCTTGAGGCCGTGTGTGAGAGCAGTATCTGCGATGCTGTAGGGCACTAGGAAGCTTTCGTCCAGAACCATTTGGTGGAAGCGAAAGTCTCGGAAAGCACTCACTCGGGTTCGGGACAGCTGCTCTGCATATTTGGCTTCCTTCCACCTCTCGACTGCTTCGGAATTCAGCTCACTTTCAAGCTCGAGGCGATATCCATGCCTCGCAATGAGGGAGTTGACGTGAGAGTAGCACTCCCCCCAAAGCACGTGTGGGTACTGCTGCTTCTCTACAAAGCCGAGACGGACAAGCTCCGTGTAGACTTTCATGTACATCTCATTCCCTTTGGCCTTGCACAGGATCTGAAACATTGTCATCTTGGGAAGCTTCTGCTGGCTATAGAATCTTTTCGTGTGGTCAGTGAGCTCCACATTGCGACAACGACCTTTCATCCATTGGACCATGGCTCGTCCAACAACCCTTGGGGCCGCGATCACGTTGCCACGATCATCGAGTGTGCTCACCTCGGAAGTCGTAGCTGGCGCCGTCATGCTCCTCAGCATGTGCTCACCTGCCACGTGCTTGCACGAGCCAATCCGAAACTGCTTTCTGAACTACAAGGGGTCACAATTACTCAAAGGAGTCCGAGTCGCGGCAGACCTTGGCGTTGATTAGGAAAACTTTCCCATCACCATCGGAGACAACTAGGCACTGGTTCTGTGTCAGGTCGCGTGTAGCTAGGATGTTCCCAACTGTGTCATAGCTGTACTCAACATCCTGTGCCTCGACCGGAATGCCTCCAATCGTAAGCCCCTGATCCACGAGAGCTTTCATCTCGACCTTCTTGTGCTCCTCTCCATCCTGGAGGAAGTAGATGAGATCGATATCGTTGAAGCCGGCAATCTCGGACACTAAATCTGGGTTCTCGGAATCCAGCCACAATATCTTGCCCACCAGCCGAGCGATGCCGCCTTTGTACCCGGTGAAGGGATGCTGCACCGCCCATTCCAAGAGCTCTTGCAGTGGCAAAGTGGCATCTTCGCTTTTGACATTCCCGAATTTTGCGGGGTCTAGCTGCGTGACTTCTAGCACGACGCCTGCACGATGCGCACATGTCAACCGTGCTCTGACACATGTACGGACAACAAAACCGAAACTCCGGCCAACTTACTCCACGGTGCTGTCCAACTCATAGACTTCAGGGCAAACCATCCGCAGGTTGGCGTATGACACCTGCGGCGGCTCATGGCAAATGGCACATGACCCCCGAGGATGTTTCGGCGGTTCCTCTGTAGCAGACAGCCGAGGCTCAGGCACGGCGAAAGATGTCCCTTACGGCAGTGCAAGTTTCAATCGTTGCATTTTGATACAACGCTTCTGAATCTCACACTGCGACCATGGTTCCAGGGCATGGGTACTGGCCACCGCAAGCGGCGCCATGGCAGCGCCAGGATCAAGAGGACGACGACCACGCCACTGAGGATCAAGTTCACCAGCGCGATGCTCTGAGAGGAGTCAGGACCTGAGAAACCCACTCCCACTCCTTGGAGGAGCTGAGAGGGCATCAGCAAGATCCGCCATGTCATCTTTTGCCAAGAAAAGACGCCGATCGCACTATCTTCGGGCCAAACACTCTCAGAGGCGAAGCTCAAGCACAGGGCTGCGAACTCAGAACTTGCACCGCTTTTCATCGGGCTCAACGCGTTGACTCGAGTCCGATTGGATTGGAGCAGTCTGTCCTCTTCCGTTGAATTTCCACCTTGGAATCGCGCGAATCGCTTGTCAAACTGGCACCGAAACCAGAAACTCAGGCGTGCAATCGGCAGGCAGTCAAGTTGCCAGGTGTGCAGAGCTGGCTTCCAGCCATGAGCCCCAGCCACCCAACCAGCAACAGCCTTGTCAAAAGGCTGAGCAACCGCAGCGGTTTACAATCATCATACCAACAATCATAACGCTAGAAACGTGAGCGCAGCAGCCGGAATAAGCGCAATAGCGGCAGCTGTTGCAGACGTATTTCGCAATCATGCACTCACGATCATCGCGCTTACAAGGCGAGCCGAAATACTAATAGCAAGCATACGAGACATCGTACTTAGAACGGCTGTGCTACCAATAACTGCACAGTTATCCACAGCTACAATAAAACAGGATGTTAACAGCAGGAAAGAGCATAAGCTGTTTAAACAGATAGACATGAGACAAGACAGAACCAGACTCCTGACATGAAAATCACCACTCAGGTCTGTGCATCCAAGAACCTTACTCTCCGTTGTGCTTCTATGACTGCGCGTGCGTTCTTTGGCAGCATCGAAGTCAATACTTAACATTGGTGACGCTTGTCTTGTGAATGTGATCCTTAGCTGTTGCTGTGAGGATTGCTCTTGACATTTGTCCTATGTTCTCTCTGTTTGCTTACATAAATCACTGGTGCAACACGATTTCCGGTAATTTTCAAATCTCTGTGATGGTTGCAGCTACTGTAGCTGTTCGGATTCGTGTCATTCCTGCTGTGTTAAAGTAGAATGCCTACTCAAAATAACCGTCTGTCAGACTGCGTGCTCCTCGCATGCTAGTTACTAGCAGCGAATGCATTGAAGAACCGACCAGGGTTGCAGTCTTTCCCCGCTTGGCGCCGAACCTGACCCAGTTCAGTGACATGTTCCTCCTGTTATGGTGTTTGCCTGTTTGGAGTATATTATTAATATTACTTGCAGTATCTGCCTAAAATTTGTGCTATGCTTGGATGTGCGGCAATGACTGGTAATGTTAAGATACCTAGGAATCTAGGCCTGGGCAAGTATTCAGCTTCATAGATGTAGGCTGCATAGTCATAGGTCGAGGTTTTAAGACGATTCGCCTTGACACTCCGTGTTTCATCAACTTTACATTGCCGGCTCTAGGCGTTCAGGGTCCAGTGTTTCCATGGCCTTGACACGTCACAACACGCGCGTAATCGCAGTGCAAACGAGCTGAGAACATGGCGCTCTCTGCTTCTGGGCCGAAACCGCCAGCGCCGTGGATGACCTCTCCAAGGCTCAAAAAGCAGCTCAGAAAGATGGGCTCGGATCCAAAGGGAAAGGCAGGGAACCCGCCTCTGAGACGTCTGCCCCGCTGGCTCGCATGACCTTATGCATAAGTTGCGGCTGCGGCATCCAGACACATGGCAGCAATGGGCTAACAATCGAGACGCAGGCCACAGCACAGACTTTCTCGGCCGATTTCAGTGTTGCAATCGCTGCCGGTGCGCGATCGCTGCAGAAGAAGACCCGGCATTGCACCTCACCGACTCACCGACACCATCTGGACAGCGCAGCAAAGCTCGGTCGGTGGAGGAATCCTGCGGTCCAAGCGCCCGGTGCATGGCTTTGGCACCGAGACGAAGAAGCTCCCAGGAGGCCAGCTTGTCGAGACCTCTCCGGGTCCCGGCTGCGAGAGCACAGTCTGGCGGGTCTCACGGTTTCAGATACCGGCCTCCCTGGCTAAGCGTCATAACGAAGTCAGCCGTGAGTTCCTGCCGTCAGCAACATCCCATTCGCATGCCCGCGACTACTGAAAAGCAAAAGCTGGTCAGCAAAAGGTCCGTTTGTTTTTTAAATGACTGCTGCAAGAACGTCTTCCTACGACCAAAGCATCACAGTATCCCTGATCTTTGGCCAAAAGAAGACTCAGGGCTCCCATGTGCGTGCCTGCGCTTCCTCCGGGATGACTTCATCCAAACCCTGCAGAAAAATTGGCGAAGAAAAAAATGATCTCAGAGTGCGCAACAGAAAGCCTTCGCCTCAATTAGTTTCACGAGTTGGTGTGCACCAACAGCTACATCGAACCGAGCACAAGATGCAAAGAGGCACTTCTCATGAATCCCATCGAATTCATGTTATTCCATGTAGGCCTTCCCACAACCGCGTTTATCAAACGTGGCATTTCCTGTTCTGCGACGAGTCAGTAGAGAAACAAATCGAACAAGACTAGGAAGGTTGCATGTAGGGTTGGTCCTCTTCCTGCAATGTAAACACAGCCCCGTTGCTTCAGAAGGATCTCAATTGAATCCGTGTTACAGAAGCTCTGCCATGTCCTTCCGGTTCAATGGCACTTGACTTCATGTCCTTCTCAACGTTCGGCCTGACCCCTCACCCCTTTTTTGCCGTCAAAGTTGTTCTGCATGTCAGACAGAACATCAGGATTTGAGGAATGCCAAGCCGTTGTGCACGTCTAAGAAGGTCCTGGATCTATGCCAGGCATGCAACTGCTGCTTCACTTCTTCGCAAGTCTGGCCGGGATCGTCATCAACACACCAGAGAAGCACCAGGTCCTCCATCACCATCTTCTGGCTTTCATTGAAATACTCCGAAACTGAAGCTGCACGAGTCTTTTTGAATGATTTAACTCGACACTCAAGACGATGCAGGCCCGTGACCAGCAAGGATACTCATTCCTGCCGCTGAGGCTTGGTCAGCGAACGAACGACAGACTCGAGATGTTGCATGCGGTGCAACATCCGTTGCCAGCCCACCCCAAAGTTGTCTTTCAACGACATGCTGTGTCGCATCCGACTGAGCATGGCTTCGTTAATCAGCTCTTGCGCAAAGGGCAGGCCGCCTTGACCATATTCTGGAATCATTTGGTGGGCACCAGCACATACATCATCACTTGGCCCAAGTGAAAGTCTGAATGCGCTCTAGAGGTGCTTGCTGGCAGATGATCTTCCGCACATCCTTGCAATCGACTTAGCACCTAACCTAAAGAGTGGACCGTCAAGATGCTTTCAGGCTTCATTCAAGCTTCGAGATTTTGCTGGAGGCGTTTCCGAAAGATGCCTTGATTCTGCAGTCTAGACTGCCTCGTGCCGCAGGGTACCGAAAGGTCCACGACAGAACTGACCAATGACTTCCGGATGTGATTGGTGCCTGTGGTAGCGAGACTTGCATGGAGCCGAACTGACAAAGCCTGGTCGTGCATTGCATCGCGAAGCAGACGGGCCACCTGCAGAAATGATGGTCCGTGCTTGCTCCACAGTAGCACTTCCAGCGAGCTCCAGAAGCTTCAACACTTAAATGTTAGCCGCAACTTGGCTACAACACATCTGTTGAACATCTGGCCGTGAAGGCAGCACTGACAGTTGAAGTGAGCGTACTTACAATGACGCCTGTTTGTATTTCTCGTTCATGATGATCGAAGCAAGAAGCTGCCTCGCTGTCTGCACCGTGAACTCGCTGGGCCAAGTCGAGAGGGCGTTCCTCTCAATAGTCTCGTCTCACTGAAAAGAATGGTTCACGGTTGGCTTACTCCAGAAGCCCTGAAACACTGTTCGGGCTTCCGATTTACCCAGGCCGCCCAGCAACCCTAACGGGCCCTAATGGCATGAAGCGAAGCTTGTCCAAGGCAGATATAGTCCCGATCCAGCAGCGATGCTGCTTGCAACATCGCCTCCTTCACTGTGCACCGATCTGCTCCGGCACATGTGGCTATGACGCTGATATGGATTCCTAGGTGCACGAATGCAAGTCTACCTTCGTGCATGCAGAGTCTTCCGTGTGTTTTGTGCGCCGGGCTGGTTCACCCACCGCTATGTCTCGTCCCTTCTCTTTTGCGTGCACTGATAGTGCGTGGGTGCACTCATGGCATGAGCTGGTTGGTGAGTTCTCGAGCATGCATCCACTTCACATACATGCGTACGTGCATACAACGTACAAGACTCAAGGCACAGCCTGGAGGCTTCAAATTGGCGATATTGTTTGGCCGGCTCTGTCCAAGAGGACGGCACACTGCCTGGAGCCCCAATTCACCAACGAACCTCGAAAGAAAACAGATCAAAACGTGCACTATCATTTGTAGGACATACATACTCCCAGGAAGTCCCCTTCCCGGCGTCCTGAGCAAGGTGCGTCCTGCAAAGCCAGAGAAATGCTCATTCAATCTAGAGTCTGGACACTCGGGATGCAACCGCCGCTGTCCTTTTAGCCATCTGACGCTCCGTGATGAGCTTCGGGGCCGCCGTCGCCTCCGGGCTCTACGTCTAGCTGAGGAGGCGACTTGCTAAGCTTGCAGCAAGACTACTGCAACTGCGCATGTAAGGTATCTATACGTCTCTCTCTCTTTCTCTTTCTTTCGGCAGGGCTAGGGGCAGAGAGGTTTCCCCCTCTGCCTCTCTCTCTCTCTCTCTTGCTTGCTTGCTTGCTTGCAAGGCGTTTGGGCACGGGGGGAAACCCCCAATGCCCTGCGCACACGCGCTACGCCAGTGTCCGAGTCCTTCTTTATGAGACTGGGGAGGCTCAGTTCTGGTACGCGGAGTGGCCCCTTTCCCCTTTGTGTCCCCTACTACTCAAACAAAGCGTACATGTCCCCGCCTGGGCCACTTCGCATGAACTGACTCCCTGTTTCATGCGGGTTTCCGCGCTCCCCGGACATTGCCGGGGATGTCTCTGCCCTGAGGTTGTTGGTTGAGGGTCCTATGCGAGAATGGTCCCGTAGTAAGCCCCTGTAGTAAACATCACAGGCAAACTTTGTGTCAACCTCGTTTGGACTACAGTAGCTGTGCTTCGGTTTGTGGTGTGTATGTTGTCAGTGTAGGCACGGGTCCCCTGCAGGAAGCAGCGGGAAGGGTAAGCAAAAGCCAGTAGGGGGGCATCACAACAATAGGGAGGTCCCCGTGCCTGTGGTGGTTGTGCTGTTGGCGAGCCGGTGGCCATAGGTTAGGAAGCAGAAGGGGCGAGGAACAGGGGGTCCTAGGGGAACATCACACACTCAGGCCCCGGCTCGCGTTGGTGGTCTCGAAGGGTGGTGTTGCTGTTACTACGGCACTTCCGATGCACATGCGGCTTGTAAAACTCTCTGTCTCTATCAGGTAAGAGGGACGAGGTGGTCCGACCCCGCCCCCCCCGCGCGCGAGCGCGCTCCTGCGGTCCTTGGCAGGCGTGGTCCCCCCCTGTGGTTTTTGCCACAGAAGGCTCGGCTATACAAGGGAAAGTCTCCCCAATGGTCGGCTTTACAATGTATGGCCTTCGAAAGTAAAGAAACCCCCCAGCTGACACTCTCTCTCTCTCTCTCTCTCTCTCTCTCTCTCTCTCTCTCTCTCTCTATATACACACACACACATATACACGCATCGTCACAAGTCTCGGCATGCAGACTTTTTGGCATCTTCAGGCGCAGAAGAAGCCAGACCACCGTGCGTCTGTCTAGCCGACACTGAGTTCTCTCTATGTACAGTCATGTGACATGCCTCGCACTCAGCTTTCCGAATCTTCGCACTCAGAGTTCCGGTCGAGGCTTCCTGTGCATAGAACCGCAATGAAGCAAAGGCCCATATGACAAAGTGCAGTTTTCTTCCGAAGGGCAGCTACGGATGTGTCAACCATCTGCATGCCAACTAACAGAGCTTGTCGTACCATGGCATACCCATGGCTATGACCATTATGACTCATAGGCTGACTTAATTCGGAGCATTTCGGTTCCTGGCTCCTGATCTCATTCCTCAGTGAAGGCTTCGGAGTCCGGAGTCCGGCCATGTCCGGCCTGTTGGCCTGGACGTTTCTCGCCAAGCCCAGACCTGCGAAGACATCGCTAGGGATTGAGCTCCACAGAGGGCCCCGCCAATGACGGCATTGCTACTAGGACTGGTGTATCTTTCGACGTCGGATAGGCCCCAATACAGACTACATGTTGCTGCTACTGCTGCTACGGCTGGTACTCGTGCTACTAGTTACTGGTTGCTGTTGCCGTGTCACTGCGATGGCTGGTTCGATGATGATTGCTCATGCCCAGTGCTTGGTCTTGTTATGTTGTCTTGCTATGTCTTGCTGATGTCGCTGTGGCTGTTGCTAAGTGCGAAGCAGTGGCTGCCAGCCTGTGTCAAAGCCGCTTCCACAAATCACCTGTTCTCAATTCCCGGACAGTCGTATCACATCCACGAATTCGGCCTGCCTCCAACCCACATGATCGCTAAAGTTTCTACGTCCTCTAGATATCTTTTCATTAGGCCCAGTAGAAGTTTACAAGCCATCATTCCAGGCCTTTTGACTTTAGCTTGGCCAGTGCCACATTCTTCTCTTCTTCTTTGGCATTGTGCTGCTCTGTAAGGCCATCCACAAACCTGGCAGAACCGCAGTGCCGCAAAGCCACATGCAATCTTTTCATCTTGTCTTGTGGCTTAGATACTGCAAGCTGCAAATGTCTGCATGCAAAGCATCGGTGGCTTTTCCACCAGGACCATGGTCGTCCGATCAAATGAACGTCATGCAGCTTTCGGCTTGCGTAAACTTGCATGGGTCAAAGCTGCCTTCGAAACTCTGTCTCAATCTTCTCCTTCTGTTCCGCGCTGGCTGCACTCACGTCCTTGTCCTGAAACGGCTTGCATGTGATCAGACACACCTTCACAGTACCACGTCCTAAGCATAGACTGCAGCTTACTGTGGCGTATGATCAGGGAACCCCGCCTTTTGCTGGCCAGCCTGAGCATTGTCAGCACATCACTTTTACCTTGACCGACTGAGA